GCAAAAATGTCAAACCTACCCTACTCTAAGTGAAAAGGGGCACACTCTACAAAATTTCGCTTTCACTACCGTATCGCGGTTCCGCTCAGAATCGTAAACAAGGACTTCGTTTGAGGGATGGGAATTTGTGCAAATACATCCCGGAAGTGTTTGTTTGGTCCATTTAAATCACGACATCACTGTTCCTAATTCGACAAGAGAAACAATATTTGTAACATTAAGGTGCCCTTTCGAGGAACTCTCGTATGTCACCACTGAAGTTGGCTCTTCTCGAGGGATCGGAAAGATACTTCTGATGCTTCTTGTTCAGCAGAGTTAGCAATGCGAAGGTTATTTCAAGGTCGCTGAGCCAGAAACGTAACTCTATCCTCAAACGACATTCGAGCTCGCGCTTCCTTGCCCCGAGCTTCATGCCTCTTCACAATACAACAAAGACTGTACTTATTAACAGTTTTTTAACAACATGGGAAAGAGAGAAAGGGAGTGTAGTCGACTCATCTGGGGCGCAGAGGGTCACACCGCATCTAAGGCATACATGGTCTATCATCCACATATAGGACATACATGGTCTATCACCCAATCCCATAGTTTGTACTTACTCCAGCTGTAGTTCAGCGCTTACAGGATACACAGGAGTTGCATAAACAGGGCTTCTAAGTTTACAAGGTCAAAAGTGTGGCAAAGAACCTTTAAAAGGGAGCAATAGCTAAGCAATTTCGTATTCTCCGAGAAAGCAGGCCTTACACCTTCCTACTGTTCTTACTTACTTTTTGAAGGTTCCTCATCAGCATGCTTGAAGGCTTCAACTGAATTCTGTCCTTTTCTCAATTGCCTCCAAGACAAGATAGAAGGCGACCCAGGAAGCGGCGAAGTTATAGAAATATATGAATTGTCATCAGGCAAATTTCTTAGGACTAGGCATGGCCAGGACTATTCTCCTCATATAACCGTTCAATTCCTGAGCTATTCTGAATATTATTCATTTGACCAACTCGTTAGTTCTCCTCTTTCATATCATCTTCTTCTTGCTGTCCTAATTCTTCTTTCTCTTTTACGTTGCGTTGCCCCATGTGGAAGAAAGGCCGATTTTCTGGTATGTTGATCCAAATTTTCCGATTACACATAACTTATATTTGTTTGAGTTGAAGGTCATTTAAATTCAAGTCCTCATGCAAGTGTCTAGAAAGCGTTGCAATGTCTTTCCTGAGGACTCTGAGCACGTTTAGACTGCAGCCTATCCTATAAACGCTTCTATTGTCAGCAGGATGTAGCCGTGCAACCTGACGCGGCATTCGTGCATTTTGTCAGCAACAAAAACTACTCTTAAACGCTCCCAATTGACTCCCCAGTTTCACCTATTATTTGGGTTCTTGTTTTCGCATCGAGCGCTAAATCGTCACCACGAAGAAGCAGGGGACTATCTTCTGAAGTTATCGTGGAATGGCCTATATGATGACAAGGGATAGTAGTGAGGAAGGTGCTCAGCCTTGGCGAATAGAGACGGAGATGGAAAATTTCTACGAAGTACCTGCTGATGTTTGCATTCGACTAGTCGGTTTCAAGTATAGTAGGCGCACCCACTTGATAAGCTCTTCAGGGACCTTGTGCTGCCAAAGAACATACGATATGCGATCAAAAATGAACAAAACACAACGAAGCACCACAAAAAATACACAATACTAGGCAACATGTAAACTGCCTTATCACTTTGTTTCAGACCTACATCCCGCTGGTGGTCGGCGGCACGGAAGAGTCCCGCTTTGACAATACGGTGATAGGTAAGCATGCTTCGATTAGAGATCATACTTCTAATAATACTTTCACTCTATACGAATACTTTATCACAGTAGAGTACCGCTGCTCTACTTATTCGATTTATATCTTTTTCACACTACATGCAATGGGACAATGGAGTTCTTTTTCCCAATCACACACGTCCAAGAAAGAGATAATTTGTATAAGTGTATCTGAGAAGAACAGATTTTTGAGTACGATAAAAGGAAGAAATAAAAATGTACCAGTAGGAATAGGTGTATAAATTCGTATAAGGTATATAAGATGAAAGTCGTGTAGTGGCAAGTGGCGCACTGCCACACCGCATGGTCCATGGAACCAATCCCTTGTTTATAGTTGCCTAGGTAAACTAAGTCATTCATTCTTTCGGGTCGAATAATTGGTACCGGATTCGCTTATAGAGATAGAAGCACTGACATAAATGCCGGCTGATCACTGCAAATCAGTGTGCATCCCATATACCAGAAAAAGTGGAGGTACCGTTACTAAAAGAGTGCATCATGGGTAAACTTCGATATGAATTTCCCCACTACTTGGGAAGCAACCCTTTTGCTCTTAAGAAATCGGTATCAGGTTTGCACTTTTGACAAGAACTCAGGGAGACTCTTGCACAGTCCCACTCCTCATTCAAATATCACCTCGATTTTCAGATGGAGTGAATGATCCATCCCGACAAATGCCGATAGTCGCAGACGTGTTTAGTTGCTCCATCATAGGTCATCATAACGAATGGTGGTACAATGTTTCGACGTTGACAATTCCGCTTTGAGATGCACCCACACCTTTGACAGGAAGATTCGGTTGGTCTAGGAGGTATCGACTTGGGATTCGATACCGGGACGACATGATGAGACGTATTAGGGTTCCGTACCGCTATAGTTCAAATGCTTCTTTCTGCTACTAAAAAATGGATGTTAATGGAAATAAGAGCTTAGCCATGCCGATCAGTCACAATAATATCGTCACCCTTCCAGATATGGTAACGAATAGGACCGCATAATTTCGTAGGGGTAGTCAAGCTATTTTCAAGGGGCTTTGGGATTTCTAAATAAGTTTTAATTACAGGTGTGCCAGTGATCACGTGTGAGCGTGATCGTGTTGTTGTCACGGTCACGACATCTCGTCCATTCGCCGGGAAAATTTTCGTGAAAGGTGAATATGCAAAACGTGAATGTATGCGAGCGTACATGAATGGCTTCCCGATACCATCAGATGGTGAGTCTGACGGCTTGTTGTAGCCAAAATCCGAAAATTTTCTCATTATTTGATTTCAGAAGCGCTTCTCTCACCAAATCGCAAAGGGCCGCCTCGCTCAGACGAGAAGCTTGAAGGTAAGAAATTTTGGCTTCCGTTACTTAGAAAGTGCCAGTGCTTGGCGACCAAGGCAAGAGTTGCCTAAATGTTTCAGTGATTCCCCTTATTTCGCTCAGAGGTAGTGGAGGCATTAATTCGACTGTAAGATAATCTGCATTAAACAAAGATCTCGGGTATTCAATAATTACCCACTGAAGAACCTGACAGAAAGACAACACCCCACCAACTTGCTCTTGAACTTTTTTTTCGGGATTCTGTTACTCGTAACTGATGAAGTAGTGAGCCATTGGGTTCAACTCGAGTGGGAGATGAACTGCACTTGTTGTTTCTGGGTAGTGTGCTTATCCCATACACGTGCATTTTTTGCAGCCTTACTTGGGTCAGTCTGGCTTTACTTCAGAATCATCTTTCCCTTCCCCCACATTAGCTCGCTATTCCTCACTACTCGCGATGAGGTAAACTGCCATACTTTTTCAGTGGCTACAATTAAGTCAGGCAGCAGTAGGAGATAGTATGATACATACATATAGTAGATATAGTATGATAGTATGATACATACATAGTATGATAGTATGTATACCAAACACCACTAGGACAGAGTCAGTCGATAGGCTGGCATATATCAATCCGACTTTCTCGATTTCTTGGTACAATGGCTGTGGGGATCGAACTTGTCATCTCTATAGGATTACTCGGAGTGAATAAAACTTCATTTCAGACACATATACATAGAAACATTCATCGTGAAATTTGCTTAATTGAAATTTTCTTTTCTTTATTCATTAGGTCAAATTTTCCATTTATTATTCGAGAAAGCTGAGCAGAATTGGTTTTGCTTTTTTAGTTAACATTTCTTTCAGGTGGTGGTGCCAGTCTGGAAGGATCAATGGAAACCGGCGGAGACTATCTCGATAGTGTAGAAACACTCCCTTCACCAGAACAAGCCAGTCGATTCTTAAGTGAGGCCGATCTGTCGGTGTCCAATCGTGCTAAATCACCAAATATCCATCAAAACGTGCCAGGGAGTGCCGAATATTTGACCAGTTCCGAGTGGTCAGGCCATGGTGGTGCCAGCTCAAGTAACCATAAAGGGCAACCATATGTAGGAGCTTTTGGTGGATCATTACGAGAAGAAGTTAAATCTGGCATGATATCGGGTCTAAAGGTTTATGACAAGCCGAAAGGGTTTGTTCCCGAAGATCTTCCCAAGTATCCAGGACCACAAGGAATGACTTCTGCGAATTGTCCTCTGAAATGCGAGCCATGTGTGTGTCCGAAAGAGCAGAAGGTCCAAGAACGACGGAGGAGAGACACTAACACTGTGGAATTGTCAGTGCCATTAGGAGCTTGCAATACGAAACGCGACAGGAAGGTGAGTCCTACTCGGAAGCACTGAAGTATTTGCAGTATATGTTTTATAAATATATTTTTAATGAATATATCCGCTTTTCGGAAGTAGCGCTGTGGTCAGGGAAGCAGCTATTAGTCCTGTTTTAGTCTACTTTCTTGGGATACTTGTTATGTAATTTGAGTTTTTTTTCAATCGCGAAAGGCCCAAGACAAATAGGCGGTGGACTTTTTTGAAAACGCCGACAAAAGTGCATCGGGCGCATCCCGGAGGCTCTATGAAAGCTTTTGAACAGAAAAAATTCCCCTTTGGAAAGTTGCACTCATGTTGCCTCCATTAGCAACAGTCTGCAGGCAAGGTGTTATTAAAGTGAGACGGCCAACTAGCCGCGAACAAAATGGCCAGTCATCCAGTTGGTTGAAGAAGTCGGCACGGAGGGGTCGATAATGAACAAAAGCGATCCTACCATTGAAAGCGCTTTCGAACTGGACCTGTATGCCACAACGGCCCGTATCCGATGACTTTTGTGTGCTAACTGTAGATGGTTAGGGACGATTCCAACCGTGTAAAGGGGAGTCAGGCAAGAAGGGTCAGGAAATTCATCCACACCTCTTCTTCAGTGAAATAAACGATGAGCGAATTGGGGAAGGGTCTAGCAAATCATGTGTGGGAGCAGAGGCTAGCATCCACTTTTAGATTACTTTCTCGTCTATTTACGAATTCATGGATCAGGAAATTAGAGGAAATTAGAGTCGTTACTCCTTGGGTGTGGTGGCTTTATCCACCACACCCAAGGAGTAACGACTCTCATTGATGAGTTCCCGCTGAGTTCGAAACGTTTGTGACCTCGAAAGTTTAGGTAGTCCGAAAAGTTACGCCTAGTAAATTCCTGAAAAGGGGTAACTGGATGAAAAGGAGAAACATTCAAAGCAAAAGGGTTCACCTGGGCTACGGGATCGAACCTAACCCCTTTTCTGGAGTTGCACCACTTCTGTAACAAGAAAAGAGAAACCATTAGCTCACTCACCGCATTATATCCGTTACCTTGATAAAGCAACGATGCTAGTTCAAGGATCCAAACGTTGGATGTGACTTTGGATTGACCCTAAAAGAGAATGGTTATCGTCTAGCAATAACTCGTTCTTATTTTACCTTGAAATAGGAGCCGAAATTCGACTGTGGTGCTATTATTTTTGTCGATAATGACATCAGTACAAACAACAGCAAACGTTGAACAGTAATCGAGACGGATGAAATTGTATTGAATGCCTTTTTAAGAGCTATATGGTAGAAGCCAGCAATTTGGTCATCGTTTACAATTCTGCCTACTCTTATCGCCTATTGGGATGCTCTGGAGAAACTGTAATTACAGTACCAGGTTAGGGAACAAGTGGTTCTATAGTGGGGGAGAGTACGAACGAAACTACCCAAAAGTACTGAGTCGATGTTGTCCTTCCTAGGTTGCTCAAGTTGTTTTTTTCTTGTTCCAACTGATGTAAATAAGATGAATATGTAAGATAATGGGACCAGATTCGCCAGCGGAGGAAAGTTATAAGTCCATTTGAGGACAGAAACCGATTCACTGAAGGTCCTGTATTACAGGTATCGCCGCCAACCCTATCGGTGTCATTCGTTGCCGTTGTCTCCTTCCACGAATCATTTATAACCAAGCTCGATCGCGCCTACCGTATTCAATGTGCCTATGTGGAAACAAACAAAAGTCTCACTACTCAACTTGATGTCGGGTAAGTGAATGCTTTTCTAAAAAACATCAGAAATAGCGCTCAAGTGACCACGATGTCTCGAAACTACCCAGCTACAATAAACTAGCGACAGAACTCTAAAGGGAGTTAGTCATGGTGAGGTGGGTATACATCAGCTCTACTTCACGAAATGTAGGAGTAGAAAATACCAGGAGATGTGGTACCCTGACGACGAAAAAAAGTTGTTGGTGAAATGTGACTATTAGTTCCAAGCAAAGGAGTAATTATCTTTTTTGATCAGTATGGTTCAGTAAAATTTGATTTTTCGCTAATTTGCTGCTATTACACTATTGAATCCCTTTTTCGTAGTGGACGACGGGATGAAACTAAATCATAAAGGGACCCTTTAGGATACTTTCTATCTTCTCACTTGTTGTAACTTCGGCATAGTAGTTTATGATGATGACATTTATTTCTGTGCTTTGTGAGTTCTATGGAGCTGTTGGTCACTTTTAGCAACCTAACAGTCCGATTAAGACGATCAAAGGTCGCTATGTCAGGCAGTTCATATTTCTTTTTCGAAACCTCATAAAACATATGCACATCACCGTTGTGAATGTCGAGCAGCACTTTGGCGTTTATACTGGCGATCTGACCTTCCGGACTAGCACAGAATCCGAACTGAAAAGGGCCTGTGCAAACTGGAAATTGCGCGTCCCTCATTGTCGCAATATGTACTTCCAGCCAAAATGTGTAATTAAAGTGGATATATGGGGAAACAAGAATTCCTAGCGGAAGTGATCAATTCCCCAGTTGCAATTTATCAACAGAGGACAGAAATTGGTTGAGAACAGTTTATCCTCCAGTAAAAGATAGAGTTCATTTGACGAGTATAAGCATTTAATTCCTTGAAATCTGAGTAGCGTTGTCACCAATTTTGTTCGCTTTTGAAGGAACTGTGAAGCACCAAATCTATGGGTACGGTCTTTATAGCGGACAATGATTGGCCTCTTTTCAATTTCCATTTCTACCTTTCCCTTCTATCTGTTGACTGTATAGCAGCAACGGGAGTTGAGCCTGAACCGCGCCACAATTCTGCTTCTACTAGCAAGTCCGGTGAGTAAGAGAGTGAGAAGGAAGGCGATGTCAACTATTTCTCTACCATATCGACCATATGGGCGGAGGTAGGGCGTGCTAAAGACTTACTGCCACACGCATGGATCAGAGATAGAATCCAAGCTCGATACCCGTTTGAACCAACAAACTCTCAAGTACGTAGGTGTATTGTGAACTAATCAATGGCAAAAAATTGTTCTCCAAGTTTTATCTCAACGATCAAAGAGAAAAAGTAACTACACTGGAAAAACTGTATAGCAGCAACGGGAGTTGAGCCTGAACCGCGCCACAATTCTGCTTCTACTAGCAAGTCCGGTGAGTAAGAGAGTGAGAAGGAAGGCGATGTCAACTATTTCTCTACCATATCGACCATATGGGCGGAGGTAGGGCGTGCTAAAGACTTACTGCCACACGCATGGATCAGAGATAGAATCCAAGCTCGATACCCGTTTGAACCAACAAACTCTCAAGTACGTAGGTGTATTGTGAACTAATCAATGGCAAAAAATTGTTCTCCAAGTTTTATCTCAACGATCAAAGAGAAAAAGTAACTACACTGGAAAAAAAATATGTAGGTGTTTTGTGAAATAATCAATGGCAAAAAATTGTTCTCCAAGTTTTATCTCAAGATCAAAGAGAAAACAAAGTAATTACACTGGAAAAGTCAAGCTGCTTTCAAAGAGAAAACAAAGTAACTACACTGGAAAAATCAAGCTGCTTTACTCTTCCGTAGGCACGGATTTCTAGCCCTTCTCCACATAAAATGGTCTGTATTTGGTGAAAATATGAGTTCTGTAATCTATTTCCAGCACTCTGAATCCGTCACAGTTGAATGGAACAGCTCCATCACCTGTCTGTGGCTACCATATCTCTGGCGCCAACGGCCAACAGATCCAAAACGTTCGGGTTGGAGATCAGGTAAAACACGAGTGGATCTGCACCACACCAGCTCCAAGTAAGTGCACCAGATTATTTTTTTTCACAAGCATTAGATATTAGAATATTAAAATGCTAGAGGGATTGGTGTCAGAAATCGAATGATGAAATAACTGTGCAGAACATCCATAGGGAGGGAGCTATGGTTGACAAAATTCAAAAAATCAGCCGAAAATCGAAATCTGCAAAGGCACTTGCAAACAGCACCATGTTGTTTCTGGAAGGGTGTATTGTAAGGGATAGTTCACCATGGACGGGGCGATTGCCTCAATAAATGAAACTACATCGATATGAGATGGGATTATTGAGCTGTCAGAACCCTCCAAATGTCATTTTGAAGATTGCTTTCATGCTCAAGATACAAAGGCAGTCGTACCCCCCTAGTCGTTCCGGTCGGAGCCGCCCATCGGCTCTAGTGTACATGGTTGATTTACTTTATCATTTTTTTTCAGAGCTCTATTCAATGCTCATTCATTCATGCTATGTTGAAGATGGAGCCGGTCAACGTTACCAGGTCATAGATGAGAACGGGTAAGCTGGCAACATTCCAATGCCGTTTATCAAAAGCCCGAATACAGCTCATTTCATTGCTCTACAACAATAAAACCAGTGGTGAACTTTCACTAAAGCACAAGCCCGTTGGAAGCGGAAAAAATGATTTTCCTCCTTTCCGCGACTACAGAAACACCTTCGAACAAGAGGAATACGAGTAATCACCAGGACTTCGAAGCATTCGAATGTCTACTTTGTACCGAGTTTTTCACCTTCTTGCCCAGGAAATCTTGGTACTTCCAAACTTCGTAACCAGTGATGTATACCACCTTAGTCTAATCCGAATACATCTCAGCAAGCTTCATAGTCAACATACACAAACTCATTAACAGTCAGCAAAACTCCTTCTTTTGGCTATGCTCCAGGACGAGTCTTTTTTCACTGATCTTATATTGTAATGCTGTAATAGCTTTGCGCTGTTGTGCTGAATTTCTCTCTGCATTAAGGAACCCCCAAGAGTCGTTTTTTCAAAAGTTACAAGCCCTCATTGGACCGATCCAAGGAAAACCTGCCCAGTGTTTGAACAGACGTCTTTACTAGTACACCACAAATCAACGCAGCACGAGGCATTCAGCCCCAGAATCACATTTTTCCAAGGTCTTGCGTTTATTTTGCTACTTTTTTAGAACCACCATTGAGAAAAGGGAACAAGAAATTGGTGTACAATCCCCATGAGTTGCCCTTGAGTTTCGCTGTTGCTGAGATCGTTTTTTGCCCCACATAAATTCACGGAAATGGCAGAAAATTATACTTTGAAATGCAAATAAACATACGGTAACGAGATCATTAAGGCATCACTCATTTCCAGATGTTCGCTGGATCATTACATTCTTAATACGCCACGTTACGATTCAGACAGATTGACGGCAACTGTAGATGCGTTTATGATGAAATTTCCAGACAGGCGAGTTCGTTACGCATGAAATACGATTTAAAAATGTTTTTGAAATTGAACAACTATTTCAGTAGAAAACAATCAGGTAGGATTTTTTCAAGACATTGGTATTCAAGACACGTGCTGTACTTTCTTGATAGGAATCAAAAGTATCAGTGAGCTTTTGCTTTATACCAAATGATACATTTTAGTGTATGCTTGAAAAATCTTCAACAACTGAAAACATCGAAAGGACTTCTCCAGGTGGGGGACGGAACATTCTCCCAGAACAAGATGGACGCGGCAAATGGCGCGGCGAGATTCGTGGGGTTTAGGACGACTTCGGCACCTATCATTGGGGCGTAAACTTGAAGTATAGTACGTTAGTATGGTCAGATTATCGTACTAATCAACACTACTTCTAATTTAGACCCCAATGATAGGCGCTAAAGTCTCACCACGAATTTCGCCGCGCGATTTGCCGCGTCCACCCAGTTCTGGGTGAATGTACCCATACCCCTCCAGGTTAATGTGGAGTCTCACCCCTCAACAGGATACCTTGATTGGACGGTTTAGACCACGCTCAAACCTCTTCGACAGACGAAGTTTCTCCACCCATTGAATTACGGTGAATGCCATCTATTCAATCCAAAACGTGTGATTGAAAAAATAGTTTGATTCCTTTTAATAGGGTTAAACGATGTGCTTTCTGTGTTCGGGTCACGATGAACTTGTCACGTGTAATGTATCGTTCGGTGGGAAAGGTTAGCTTGATAGTTTCGAGGAGAATAATTTAATCATTCGATGCATTACTCAGTTTCAAAGCCCATTCTTCTTTCAAGGAACATCCGATAGTGCCGATAGTGCAGAGTTCCGGAAAGCTTCGAATACTAAGCCCAAGAATTGATTGAGCACCTCAAGCATGATCATTCTCTGCTTTTTTCTCCTCCAGTTTGATGAGAAGGCTTTGATTTTGAATCTATTCATTCACACAACATCCAGAAGGGGCTCACCTTCCCGCTTCAGCATAGTAACGCATATAGCTACAGTTACTCATTCAGGTTCTCGTTTAAGGATTTTACTGGAATTGAAATGTAGTAGTTGAAAAGATTATCAGTCTCGAGTGGTTTAGAAATTGTTCAAAGCCCGTAATGACTTGAAAATTCAATTTCGATTCAGATCCGCTGTGGATTTCCAGTGCTCTATTCAAGTATGCTCAAAGCTGGATAAAAACTGCACAGGAATCTCGGTAAGTGCAGATTCAGATCTGCTTTGGACTAAAATTTCACTAACCCTAACTGCGCATGCCTAAACTTCCTTACTAAGATCTCTTTTATAACTATTTGTTTTATTTCTTTTTTTTCGGGAAGGGGGAGTGGAGCTGGCGATATCTATGCTTCCGATTTTTGGGATGAATACTTTGTGCCATTCTCTAACGTCTTGGGATTCAAATTTGATGAACCATGTTGTTCGAATATTGAATGCTGCCGCTTGAATACGGTCGCTACTTACTCAAATCAAAATATTGGAACCCTTTCAAAATGGGGGAGGA